TGCAATCATTCAATTCATCATCATTACCATTTCTGCAGCGAAACAAAAAAACAAGCAAAAAAACAACAAAAAAACAAGAAAACACATGTAAATGAAGCCCCATCCATCCTTCATCTTTCACTATATGTACCATCTTCTCGCGATTCCATGTATGCCTTAACATCACATGGGTAAACGGTATTCCCAAACGCCACGCCATTCATGTACAAAGATATCCCCTCCATCCAACCATCCAAGCCATTTTATCCGCATCCCTTCATCCTCATAATTCGATTCCCTTTCTCATTCATTACCACCACCTCATCACTCACTCACTCAATATATTTTCCATTCCCACTCCCTCCACTCAACCAACTAAAAGTTTTCTTCTTTCCCCCAGATCGCTTCTCACTCGAATTCGGCGGATAATTCATATCTCCATTCATATTCGCATTCGCATTTCCATTTCCATTTCCATTTCCTCTTCCATTCATACTCCCGCCCATCATCGCACCACTCATATTCGCGCCCATATCTATACTCGCATTTCTGCTACTCTGCGGTCTGGCATTATTGTGCTGCGAAGTGATTGTATCGGATTTATGCGGAATGGGAATGTTAGGATTGGAAACCGGAGCAGTCGCGTACATATGGGGATCGGGACCATCTTGCAATTGGTGTGAGGAACGAGAGGAGCTAGGACCGGGGTTTGGAGGAGCGGATGATTTGAAGGGTTCGGATGCGCCAAAGAGATCGCCTGATTTGATGAGGTCTTGCCAGGTATCGAAGGAGCGCTGGAGGGGGTTAGTTATTGAATTTGGGGATTTGGTGAGCTGGGATAAGGTGGGCTGAGGAGAGTGTGTATATGACATACCTTGTAATCTTTTTCTGCGAGCTTGATTTCATATGCGCACTTGTCGACTTCTTTCTGATACCAAGCGTCTAATGCCATGATGATTGACTCGCTCAAAGCATTGACATTTTGAAAGAGAGCTTTGGTGTCTAATGCGACGGAATGTAATTTTCCGTTAACCTCTGTGTAATCTGGATGACTGTCGAAAGCTGGAAACTATTTTTTTTTTGAAAGGTTAGAAGCTGTAAATCTGGATTGGGAACCTTCACTTCATCTCAAGCTATCCCCACATCTAGCTATCCCAAATCAAGCTATTCCCACCCTCATATTCAATCCATAGTTCAAGTAGAAAAATAAAAAGCTCACCTCATTAATACTCTGAATTTGTTCCTCCGTACTAACAATCAAGCCCTCAAAACTACTCTTCGTCTTCTGACTCCTCTGATCCAAATACTGTCTCTCATTTTCATAGATCGTCTTGATCTGGGCTCTCCTCTTATGCAACGACTGAATTCTCTCAATCGCATCATGCAATTGGGATTTGGGGGATTCACTCGGTTCCGGAATGGAATTGCCATGCATCATTTTCTGACTGGCCAAGGGATCCTCGGTATTATCGCTGGAAGGAGAAGAATGTGTTAGAGTTTGAGGTTTGGAGGGGAGAATGGGTTCGCGTGGGGAAGCTTGGGTTTGGGTAGGAGGGATGGAGTTGGTCGGCGTGTATTTGTTGCGTGGCATTTTGAATATGTGCCAATGCATACGGTGGTTTGGTATGATGTGATGTGATTTGATATGATGTGTATGTGTATGGGTGTGTGTATGATTTGAAATTGAAAGATTGAATGAATGGAATAGATAGAACTTACTATGGTGGGGATGGAGGGGATGCCATTGTTATCGGAAGATTTTCCCAATAAGTAAACCAATAGTACAGAAATGGATGTACAAGAGATGAGTTTCAGTTTTTGTTCCTTCGAATCAAAAGAATTAATCTCCTAGTCCTAGGGATGTTATGGTATGCGTTTGTGAAACACAATTGATTGATTTTGATATCGGAGAGAAAAAGTGATAGGCAGAGATGGGAGAAGGGCGGTAGATGCAGATGCGGGAAGGGAAGAGAGAGGTTGAAGTGTAGTGTAGTGTGCTTTTGAAAGAGAAGAGGGAAATGGAAAAACAAAATATGTTTGGAGGGATAGATGGATGGATAGATGGATGGATAGATGGATGGATAGATAGATAGATAGAGCTGAATGTGAAAGAACAACTCGATGATCTTTTAATTACAATTCAATTCAATTCAATTCAATTCAGAATTGCGTGAGTGAGAGAGAGTATATCAAAATGTATGCCACAATCAAATGATAAAAGCTTCCCTCCTTGAACAAATAAGTAATTCAATTCCAGCTTAAACAAACATGTGGCTGGGAAAGGAAACGAAAGCAAAGAAATAAAATCAGAAATAAGAAATCCATACGAAAATAACCCGTGGGACTTTTCTTCAGGCTGGATTAGGTGATAAATAAATCCATGGCCCCAATATAATTCCCTTGATAGTGATATGAAAGAACCTATCACATCTCATAAAATACCATTCCATCCTTATAATTTTACGATTAAAGCCCAATCGAGAAAATGCTCTAATCCAGGAACCAAAAACTTCGAGGGTGGAGTGGGATGGGATGGGATGACATGGGATGGGATGAGAGAGGTGAACATGGGATAAGATGGTATTGGCATGGCATGGTCCGAAGCCGTGGCGCGTTCCCCAACCTCTCGTCTTTTTTTTCATTTTATCGTGCTGGACACGGATACCTACCTACCTACCTACCTACCTACCTACCTACCTACCTACTGATCAAACGTGTAGAGTGCTTTCTGAATGAATGAATGAATGCATGCATGGGAATATTCATCATTTCATTTGATGGATGCATAATAATCTCACGAAATACCAGTATGTTATGATGAGAATCGTGTCGTGTCGTGTCGTGTCGTGCGTGGCGTGGCGTGGCGTGGCGTGGGTCAAGAAATTATATATCATTCATTCATCGAGTGAGTCGTTTCGGTTCTTACATTTTCTTGATACGTTCTCTGGGTTTGTTGGCTGCATATACGTGTTTAAATACCTACCTATATCTCATGATTGGGGATATCTGAAGACTGTAAAATTAGTTACTTCTCTTATGTTACTACTGTATCATAGCAATGCGACGGTAGAACCGAAGTATGCATCCAAACCAGTCTCGACATTTGATCATATCAACTGCGTATCCAAGGTCATAGTGTCGTCGGGACAGTATCCTGAACAAATTTGCTGAGAACCAAGTAGTTCTGCGCATCTACGAAAGGAAGCTTGAGGTTGAGATCGAGATTCAGCTCAAAGAATTATTAATGCCCATTACTTGGCAGTTATTGGCTGCATATTAGAGTTCGGACCCCTATCAATGACATTGACGTGTGCCGAACTTTCCCACGTGAGTTTGGTCTAATTCACTTAAGTTTAAAATGTTTATTTTGGAATAGGAAGAATGGCTACTCTTGATTGTTGCAAGTTTTGGTATTTGGTCGAATACGTTGGGTTAAGTGGTTTACTGGGTGGTTTACTTTCTTCGTGTATGAAGCCTGTCTGAGAATAGTGTGTTTTAATTTTTTGGAGAGTTTGCTGTATATTTGCAGAAATGCTCTTTCTTTTATTGAATCCATCCAGAATCAAGACAATGCAGATACCCCCAGAAGTTTCCTATATCTTGCACCCAAATGAACTCGATCTCCTACTACCCATAATCTTCTTCCCACACATCACCAACCCAACCCTCCTATTCAACCCCCCTAATGCTGAAACGCATTCCCCGGAGACTTCCTTTCCTCCCCTACACCTCCTCTCAAACAACCTCAACCTAGCCTCCTTCACCAAACCTCCCCCATGAAACCCCCCTCCTATGTGCCTCCCTCAACCCCCACAAAACCACCCTATCACTCCAATCCCGATCGCTTTCATGCATCTTATGATCCCCCCACTACACATCCCCATCAACGCATCCTCACACGTAATTTTCACACGTTGACACTTACACCAATCTTCTATGCAATCGTCCTTTCCATCAGATCATGCCGTACGACGACACATGCTTGGATAATTTCGGAGGAGCGTACAAGTAGCAAGAGGACAGGTATTGAAGCTGTCGACGATGGTGAAGGGACAGATTCATCTCAAACGTGGGTTGAGGATGCGGGATACTTGAGATTCAAGGTACTGTGTTTAGGTGGGTGGGTCGTTGTGGTTTTTAGGTTTTGAGATGGGGGATTATGTGTTGTTAGGAGAACCTTTCTTGAGATATATACTCCGATTCTTGGACTTCGTTATAGTGGCCGTCTGCTTGTTATGCTCATATGTTATTGATGGGATGTGTCTGCTTGACTCATCTGAGTGATTGAGTCCTGCTGTTGAATCTGAATGACTCATTCTCGGCACCGGTTGTATAGAAATGGAAGTGAATCATTGATTTCTATATTCATTGGTTCACAAATATTGAGTTGTGCCAGTAACTTCTCATAACCTTAGCAATTCACTCTTAAGTTGATATAGTAATGATTACTCGTCCCCTATCTGAGAGTATAAGTCATTTCGAGCATGCATTTTACATTATCTCCTCATCGAATACCTGGGTTTATCCTGAGTATACCCACTTGTTACCCACCTACTCATCGTTCGCTATGGATGAAGATTGAATCGCATCTGTAGGTTTTGCAAACAATGCTATTGTCTGCAAGAACAACAAGAGAAGAACAATCGGAAAAGAAATAACAACACATGGAAACAAAGACTGAGCTCTAGATATCGATATTAATTCTTTGTCTGTCTTTGAAGAACCAATGAGTACCACGTTATCTCAAGGCCTACAAAGACTTGAGTACATCTACAGCAGTAGCTGATCGCATCACGTCACTTCATCAATCCTATTATCAGTAATAATTTCATCTCACTTACTAAAATCAATCTTACCTACATTCACAAATATCACAAATAGTACACATTTTTTGAAAAAGAAAATTATCAATTTATGTAAATTACAAAACTGCAGAACAAAGGAAATAAAGAAATCGCAAGACGAGATCAGGACCAGCCTGATCAACAAATCGAAAACTCACCACCAGCACAAACGAAATCTCAATTCAAGATCCTCTCCAAAGTCATCGGACCAGCTGGTGCAATAAGAGAAGAAGGAAGAGGATGTCTCCCATTCGAGAGTCGAACGACTGAAGTGGGAGAGGAATTTTCATCCTCGACTGTGAGGGTTCGAAACGCGCGAGCAAAGAGTGGAGTTTGATCTCGAGAAGCCGAGGCGGAGACAGAACTGTTGTCTGCAGTGGATGCAGAATCCTCATCGTCGTCGAGGAGGATGGGTTGTTCGCGGGATCCGGGGGCTGGAGATCGCTGTCTATACTGGAGAGATCGCGCGGCAGAAGCACGAGCGATCGCGGTAGCATTCAAATGAGCTCTTCCCTGCAACTCTCTTCCGACAACTTGCCGGATGCGCGGAAGGGGAAGGTGCATGTTGGTGTGTCTTAGCGGAGCTAGGAGATGAGCGCGAGCGAGAGCGAGGGCGGCGGCGCGTTGTAGGGCTTCAGGACTGGGAGGCTGGATGTTGCGTCGAGTACCGGTGGAGACTTTGGTTAGGATCAGCCCGTTGGGCAGGAGGATGCGCTTGTCGGGGAGGAGGTAAGTGTGGTGCGCAAAACGGTTGGTGCTACCGGGAATGCGGACGGCGCCTGCTGGGAGACAAGTAGTGCCTGGAGGGAGTGAGAGTCTTGGGGTTTGGTGGACAGGTGTTTGCATTGGAGCTAGGACGGGCCCTTGCTGGTGACTTTGTGGGACTTGAATTGGTACTTGCTGAAGTCCCTGTGGAGCTTGGACGGGCGCCTGTTGTTGTATCTGTGAGACTTCCACTGGCAGTTGCTGTGGCATTTGCGGAGTTCCAAGCGGCACTTGCTGTAGTCTTGGTGGAGCTTGCAATAGCACTCGCTGTTGTCTTTCTGGGACTTGTACTGGCACTTGCTGTACCTGAGGAGCTTGGACTGGCGCATCTCGAATCGGCGGTAGCGCAGCCGTTCTATCTACTTTTGCACAGCAGTTGTGATACTGTCTATAAAAGCTCATAAGTGTCATAGGTCTTGGGAGCCAGGGTTCCGAAGAATGAAGCTCACCACCGGGTAGATGACGTGCTTGTTCGGTCTTAAAAAGTCTATGAATCTGGGTACCGGTTAAATATCGAGTAGACGGTTTTTTGTAGAGTGACTCGAGAACCTCGAGCTCGGCGGCGGTCCATACAGGATGATACATGGTGGGCTTGGAGTGTTGAAGGCTGGGTATAAATACTCGGGTTTTCTAACTAGGTTGGTTGGTTATACTAAGAAGTGTGTGATTGAGTAGATAGTTTGGAATGCTGGAATAATTTAAAATGATGTTTTCTCTCCATTTTATGTGTGAGCACGTGGATTGTTCAGTAACTTTTCTTGGGCAAATATCTTTTTGATCCAATTTTCTTTTCTTTCAGAACTTCTTAGACAAAGCATTCTTACACAAAGAATGTTTCGATATTAACAATAGGACATTGTACTTTTGTTACGGGTGTGAGCATTGTTCAATCATTGATACGGAAATGTTCACTGATTAGTCTGAGCATTAGTGGTGTGTGGAAGTGCCCTCCTGAAGTAAGCGATCAAGACTGACTATCCACCAAGCCAAAATAAATAGCATCCAAACAAAACATATATCGCCATATAAATATAGCAAAAACTTGAAGCATATTTCGATGTTCTATTTTCCATCCATTACCTATACCTACTTTACTCCTCAGATATTTCCTTCCGAACCATCCCAAAGAAAAAAGTAAGTATACCCACCAAACACAATTCCTAAACCCCCCCCTAGTAGAACTAATCATGCGTACCTCCCCCATACCCTTCCCCCCCACCGAAAAAGTCTTCATCCTCTCTCTCAGCACCCTCCACAACATCCGGCTTAACCACCGCACTAGCCGCAACACCTGGCCGCAAATCATCTTCGCCGTCGAAATCGAAGCTCTTCTCCACTACCCCGGTGGAGAGCACTTCGATACCGATCCTTGGCACGCAAGAATCTATACCGCCATCTCTCTCAGAAAATACGTCGAGCGCTGGATGCTCGAGGTGAAAAGAGATGAGATAGCGAGGTTGAGGGCGGAGGGGGGGAGAACGCTGATGGAGATTATCGAGGAACATATTCAGTCGGGAGAGTGTGTGAGGACGAATATTTGGGGCTGGGTGATGGAGCCTGGATGGGTGTAGCTTGGGGAGGTGGGTAGTTTCGCTTAGATGAGTGCTTGTTTCGGTAAGGGCTTGGCGAATAAATACCTCCAGCTAGATTGATTAAGATGAAATTAATTACCATATAAAGAAAATGATATATGAGTGTGATGAGATGGAGGTGATAAAAACACTATATATGAGTGATCATTGAGACCAAGCCATTCAGAGAGATTTGGACATTGGGTTGAACATTAGACGACAGTCTGGCTGATTGAAGATGGTCACGTGAGAATCTAACTTGAATTAGACGACAGCCTAGAGATGTTATGTGCTAAGCACTTCAATTGATGGTACTATGCTATCATTTAAGATAGTATGTTAATGTGTCCACACTGCAAAGACTATGGTGCGGTATTATGGGCGGCTTCTCAATTGAGTTATTCTATCCGTAGCTAATATCACGCCAACTGTGCAATGCGCTTATAAGTGTTTAGATGTACGAGGTGATGCAATTTACTCTAATCGTCGGCTCTCATAAGTATTTGATTAGTTCCTATTATAATGTACGGTAGGTTGCTCTTTCGTGTATATGAGAGCTACCTTCCTTGCAGCTAGCTCTCGGTCGAGACAACTAATTGACTATACTCAGTAATAAAACTTTGTGTTAATGACTATGTAAGTCTCGCACTCAGTTCTCAACTAACCACTTATCATTTTTTTCGAGAAGTGAATTTCGTGATAATTCTGCTCATGCACCGCCCCATCTGCGCTAATTAGACGAGCTCATTTCTTCCCAGCACGGCTGGTCTGCCGTTTTCTCTCAACAGACGTACGACCATCGAGGTTATTCACTAATATCTTCAACAAAGTGAACCAATTCACAACTTCTTCATATCCCACTTGGGCCAATTAGACAAGTCCATGTACGCACAATTCGGTTAAGCCAAAGCAAACTTTCAGCGAGATGGCAAGTTCCAAGGTCATCTACTCAGATATGGAAGACAGTGAATCCATCCACGGACGTCGAGATCGCATGAAAAGTGACATTTACTGAAGATACGGCGGACATCAAAAATTGCGCGTGCGGGGTAAGTGAAAATCGAAATCCAACGGCTCGCTATTTAAGAGATCAACCCTTCCTCTCCCACGATTTTATTTCTTTCCCCGTACAACAATTTCCACCACCTCCACCCCCAACCTTTGTCTCTAGACCTTTCGAATATCACCCATCTTTCATCATGCCTTCAGACAAACGTCCTTCTCGCGATCGTAAGATGCCTGAAAGGCTCAATTCTCCATCCGTTCAAATCGAAACCTCCACCCACAGCCAGAATTTCGCAGATGCATCTAGCACACCTCCACCAACCACTCCCAATTATGCTTCTTCTGGTTCATCATCTTCTGCTCCATCAACTCCAACTCCTCTCGTCAGAACCGGAGGTAGAGAGTGGAGAAAGACGGTTAGAGCTACCTTGCCTTCAAGAGCTGAAGTAGAACACTTATCCGCAGAGCTCAGTCAAGAATCTAGAGCTTCGCTCGCAGCAGTTCAGGGTTCTTTCGCGCCGGTTCCCATGCCTCAAGATGGAATGCCACCTCCCAAGCCTGAAGACGAATATGATGTCTATTCGCCTTGCTTTGGATTGACCCATACACCAGAGTGGGATGATCTGGGAATTGATATTGATGACCATTCCCAAGGAAGATGGTTTCCACCTGTGAGTTTAATCATACTCTCACTCTTTTGATATAGCTAATCATGTTGTTCTTCTAGGGATTGATGGCACCTCCTTCTTACGATTCCCTTTCTAGCGCTGCGAAATTCATGCTATTTCAAGAAGTCACCAAGAAGATATCATTCAAAGACCTAGTCGCATATCTGAGCATCACCGGCGCTCAACTGGATGACTTCAGAGAACTATACAATTTGGAGACTTCGCGAACCACATTGGAAGAAGATTTCAAAGGAGTTATCGTGGCGCGATTGGATGATATTCATAGAAATGAGAGGCGATTGGTCACAGCGGAAGACTTTGACCTGATTTGGCGTGAAGAGGTCGAATCAAAGCTCCCACCAACAGTCCTTGAGTCTCCCATCCCGCTCTTGGAAATTGGCAAAGCTATCGCGTTTCTTCAAAGTTGTCATGGCTCGCAAATGTCTGGCAACATGTTGAACAATGGCCAGCGTTCAAACAATGTCGTCCTCTCATTATCTGAGGTCAATGAGATAATCGAGGCAATGAGAAAATACATCCGGCTTGGTGAAGGCGTTACCTATGATTTCTCTCACAATTTGGGCTTCAGAGAATACCTTGTGAATGAGAACAAGCTTGTCAGCAGTGCTCAAGGAAACGACCCTCCTGCCCGCGAGGCTGAGGAGGCAGTTCAGCATCCCATCGGTCGACCAAAGAAGCGAGGCAAGCAGTTCCCAAATAAGCCCCTCCGGAACAAAGCGGATCTTTTGAAGATGGTCTTGCCATCTAAGTTGCAGCAAATGGAGAACGTTGAGGACGAGGCTGGAAAGGAGGCTAGGGGTAAGGCTGCGAATAAGGGAAAGGGAAAGATGCTTTGAATAATTGATATTCATTTGTACATAGCATGAACATTTTCGTAGATGATCATCTTCATGAAAATGACGTTTCTTAAATAAAAGTCAATGAATGTTTCAAAGATACTATTCTTCACGTGACCATTGCTATACCTCGCTAAATAATGAACGAATCTAATTTGAAGATTTAGATCTTTCAAAATTAATATTTCAGATGATAGTATTATATTATTCCTTTAGGCTTAAGTATTCCAAGAAAAGATTTTGATTACTTTACTTTTATTTTACTCTTCTTATTTCTTATATTCGAAAAGCTTGAAACATCTACTATATTATAAGTCTTTGAATGAAATAATTACTTCTTCATATAAGACCTTAAAGCTTTCACTCATTCAAGTAATTATTTTGAATAACAATTTGTAAATCTACAAAATAAACTTAGATAATTAGAGAATGAATTCATTCGAACGTAAGACAATACTATGAGATTGTTCTAAGAATTTCCAAAATATTAAGTTTAAATATATAGAATACTTTCCGTCTGTCTGTTACAATACAAGTGTATAAGCTAGATTTGAATATTTATATAATGAGTTTTATCTTAAATTAAGATGATAGTCTTGAGTGCTTCAATAGGCTATGGTAATTTGAATAAATATTCTAACTTTTATATTTCTGACTATCGTATTTGCTAGTATATTACTCTTCAACAGGTGGGAGTAGATTTACTTAATCTTGAAATAGTAAACTCAACTCGGATTTACTCTTGAAGTACTTTAGATTCTATAATAACTGAGAACTTTATAGTTAGAATAGAATCCGGAATATAAGCTCATGAACAAAGTGTATGAACGTAGGTATATGACTTCAATTCAATGGCCATTGTATTGAGCTTTAGGCGAATGCGAAAGAGACTAGCTCTTTCAGTAGTGCCTATATAAGGCCTACTACTTTCTGTACATAGCTAGCTCTTTAGATAGAATACAATTAGACGTTTAGGACCTACAAACACGTGGGTGCTACGTCTTCCGTATCCTTCTCGAATCAACACAAAGACTATAATTCAGAATAAGAGAGTAGAATCGATAATTAAAGAATATAATCTAATTTTACTTTTAGTTTTAATCTCATAGATAAGTTTCAGTTCTACGCTTCATATGATATCCAATAATGTAAAACCACCATCTAAAGAAGCCTAAATAATAAAATAGGTTTTATAAATCTAAATCTAAGTTCTATTACAAATACCAGTCTGTTTAAATTAAAATAAATTCCAATTAGTATGAGATTACGATGAAGTCAATTTTAGTTATATGAATATAATCTATTGTATGTTCGTTTATTTTCGGAGATTTTAGGTTCTACGGAACAATAAGCATAATTAAGTAAGTAGTATAGTATTATAGCCTTCGAATACTATCAAAATTCACTCAGCTCATTAGCTGTACCAGAGATCTCAATGAGTATCTTCATCTGCAGCAATATCTAAGAGACGTCAGATTCGACGCATCTTCAAAAACTGTAGCATAGTGGGTTTGAATCCAAGACCATACGCATGTCGCTTAGTAATCATTCCAAGAAGTCTAGCGTCAGCAGCTTGCACCGTAAATAAAGACGAACATTAGCTATTATTTGGCACTCTACCAGATGGTTCAGAATTTGATACCGAATCAGCGATTGCTAGAAAATGGGCGAGTCAAAGTGGTGTTTGACAATCGAAGCAAATACTGTCCGGTAGATTCGGAGGATAGTTACTTTCATCCTCCACTCTTTATAATATATTCGTTCATTGTATCAACAAAGCCATAATTCAACATGTAAGCATTCGAATGTAGTACTGCTAGCTTTCTAGCTCTCATGTCAAAATAAAAAGTGTATTTCCAAAAATCTGCTGACAGCAGATAAAAAACCCCGCAACACGTCTTTGTATTGTTCTTCAATACTATGAGAACCTCCGTTTGAGCTCTGCAGTTAGTATAGGATGTTGAAGAAAATCGAGTGAACAATCTCATACTTGAAAAATACAGAAATCTATCAAAAGAAGCAGGGCCCGATATAGAACCGAGGCAAAAAAAAATGTCATCTGTATTTTCACTTATAGTAATAAATGACATATACAAATACGAGTTTCTTTCGCTAAAGCTTCTCCTTCTGTGTTTAAATTATAATTCCGCCACCTACTGTTACTCTTGTATCAGTATAAGATGGAAATTTGCAAAATATATTGTTCGAAAATGAATAAGCTTTGGTTTATGGAGCATCCAAGTTCGCAGACAGTTAGGTGATTCTTCTAACCACCCCCAGGTTCAGACTATCATTTATATTTAGATTGTTCCTTATAATAAAGTTAATACTCATCAATACCCATAGTACCTGTGGATCGTTTTATTAAGTACAAAGTAGGAAAGTTTCAGTCAATATAATCTATACTCAGTTGGTCATGTACTAGAAAATAATTACACGATTTTCTCAAGCTTCGAACTTTAATAGGTTTCATAGGACTATCATATTATTGAATGATTAGTCGCGTGTTTCAATAGAAACAAAGAAAATGATACTGTGGAGTCTTGAATTAGATACATTTTCAGCGATAATGAAAGAAACATTATGCTCTCACTATAGATGTGAAACGAGCCACTTGATCATCGAATCAAGCCCGGATATCCAAACCCTAACCATAGTGCGCTGCTCAATCTGATGTCTTAGGATATACTACTTTGTAAAATGATGGATAGACTCCAGGTACTTATAGAAAGTCAGGATAAATAATTCAAGGGTCCGAATCAGATAATGTGGTTCATGCGGAACGAATGAAGTCTGGCAGTGGCGGGCTAAAGTTTCATGGATGGATTTTTGTCATAAATAAACATTATTATCTAAGGCCTAAGACAGGAAGAAAACAGATCCACCTGACGTGCCCGACTTGTGATATGATCATATGTGAAGAGATGAGAACTTATATGTTGGAGTACTCTGAGTGGATGGTGGGCATGGGCTCTCTATAATGCACCGACATATAGATGTACTTTTTCACCTTATTCCTACTAACATAAAGAAGCGACAGTCTATCGGGACAATAGAATGATAAAAAGGATAATATCATACAACTAAGAGTATCAAGAATGAGTATAAGAGTATAAGAATTGAACTCGCATGCTACGAGTCGTATCACCAAGCAAAATGTTAAGCCTCTTCAATTTTTAAAGATAAAGGAATGTTAAATGATCTAAATGTAGGTCACAATGTTATTTTATAATCTTACTTACTTAATCAAGTATGAGATTATTAAAAAAACCTATTTCCATGTCTATTTTGAAAAATAATTGATTACAAAGTGATTGATGATGGCGCAAGAGAACTTCCATCACCTAGGTATGTGGAGAGCAATGACAAAGAGAGCAATGACAAAGAGAGCAATGACAAAGAGAGCAATGACAAAAAATCTTTGTGGGGAGCAAAAGGGTCACTAGTTCATCTGAGGGGATAGCGCCATCTGTGGGCTAGTTATCCGATACTTCGCTCCGCTGGAATCGAACCAGCGAACACCCAGTGCCGCACTTAAGGGGTGAGGGCTCAGAGCCTGAATCGACCACAACAGTCTATCAGGAAAGATAATATAGACCCATAGGCTCTTTTTACCGAAGGTGAATCTGCTTAAAGCGTGGTACGACTCATTGTTCCCAAGGTGTCTATTATCTATGTCCGACGGCGGCATCGTTTGAATGATAGGCGGGAGAACCCACAACACCTAACTTTCATCAACCGTCCAGTGATCTTCTGGTACAGAAGAACCCCGGAGATACATCGCATCAACATATGGTGATAATGATCGATGAAGACTGCCTCTTCAACCGGGTAACGCATCCTCTAGTAAATTGGGTGTTTTCAGGCTCCCCAGGGGGTGATTTCGGTTCCCAAGATGTTCAAGTATTACCCACCACACCAGCCGTTGCTAAAACATTTGTTGAAAATGCAAAGCGTCTACTCTACCATTGAGCCAGCAGCCTGTGGGTGTTCGATACTCTGTGCGAGTCTATTTAATATTACATCCATCGAATATGTTTGCCGAAAAGTGAATTGATATTGTGGGCCAGGCGCAGGAAAATAAAGTCACGAGCCGCCTTCAGTTTCTCAACACAAATGTGAGTGCGTATCAAGATTTATGACAAGCTGGCAGGAAGAATAGTCAAGCTAGAATATCCTAGAAGACATAACTGTAAAAATGAAACTAGTCACAGCAAGTTACGCGATGCTCCGACGTCTTTTGGTCACACATGCGCGAATTTTACACAGCACTGCTGCTGCGTATTTATGTTGACCAAATATAGTAGACACATAGATGGAAAGGTTGTTTTACGAGCACACAAGAACATTCAAGGAATATCAATCAAGTCAAAACCTACGCGAATCAAAAATTCGAGATTAGTGCCCGGAAAACGCTGTTTGATCAAACGAAAAACCAGCAAAAATGTAGTACTTGATAGATGTACCATATTCCGGTATCGAACCTCATGACAAAAATATCACATTATGTAGTGAATCTCAAATTTTGTCACTAATTGTCTCTAAGAGTCTCATGTCATCGTCTTCAAATCTGTTGATCAATTCGGGTAAACACCCAAAATATGCCTCTTCCTTCCACACGCAGATAGCCAACATAGATACAACTTCGATAGCACAACTTTTTGAAAAGAACGAGCTGTGATTCTGGCCAATATTCTCTTCGAGACCCGCTTTTAAATTATGTGTGGCCATGTAGCACTTCCAAGTTCTATAAAAAAACGAGATGTTTGCTCAATTTTGAGTTCCCGGATTGCCTCACACCCTCGGTGGATGCTTAATAAAGTATCGATTCACAAGTTCGAGTCCCCTGAGCCATCGTAGTTCTGTTACCTTACAATTGCAATCCTCAGATCTATGTTCATTGTGGTTCTTGAGGTTTTGCCGGATATATGCCTCATAGAGTTTCCTTTCCTCCTCAAACTTGGCTTTCAACCTGAGGTTGACCATATGCTTGCCATCGATTTCAAATTTTCTGAGGTTCCTAGTGGGAAGAATTCGCTGTTTGTTGTACGTTAGTCAGAAAAGAACTTTTTTATTGTAGGAATGAAGGCAACGGAGAAGGAGAAGTACCCCAAAGTCAGATAGCTTTGCCAGATATGTGACATCTTTGAAATCCCCTGGAAGACTAGGAAGTTCTAGAGGTCCTAATAAAGGTCCATAGGACATTTTCGCTGTATCGAATAACCTAATGCATTCTTGTACATCAACATGATCCGCTCCCTTCACATCACAAAATGACAAGTCGTATGATCGCACAAGATTGTATTTGGTAGCTCTACGAATAGAAGCTTCCGAGTTCTCGACATGGCGTAGCTGTAAAATATTTCCAGAACCCATTAGTTCTTGGACCAAGAACCATTTTTTTAATCCGGTAAAAAGTCTCCAGATAAAGTCAAAATCGGTCGATTGAGATGGATTTCTGTACCAAGCTAGGTTTCTGATGCGCTTCACGTCGTCATCCGGAATCCACCTCACGGTAGTATAAAGAAGAGGATTCGCACTATTAGCCAATCGATCCTCTGGCGATGCCCAAAGCTCACCAGTCATATTGTAATCGATAAGTAAGAAGTCTCGTTCAAAGTCGAACCATACATATGATGTATCCTTGTCTGGTTGATCCTGTCCAGGCTGGCAGCAACGAAATGCGCGGCGATAATGTTTCGAAGCGACAAAGAGCGATTCAGAATTGACGCGGAGGATTGCAGGGATCGAAGTGTATGATTTCATCGCTCGTGTAGCTGCATCCTGAACGATGTGAACGATGCGCGATTCAGGAATTGCGCGTTACCAGATGGAAAGACGGATTTCTTTCGGGAGTCGACGAAACTGAGGAAAGGATAGTGTATTTGCGGCGGAGAACATCGTGGTGTATGTACTTGTCTGCCAAAGAGACAGCAACAAGTAGGTTAATTGAACACAGTTACGTTGGTAAAATGTGCGCGCGGAAGGTTGTTGTTGAATACGAGATGTTGAATAAAAGAAGTATGGCAACTGGGAGAAATGTTGTTCAAGTCTTGCCTTTTTGAAGCACTCCTGTGCAAAATTTTGTTTGTGCGGGGTACTTTAAGCCGCGAATTCACTTAACAAAATGTTCACATGTTCGAATCATATCAAGACGAAAGAAAGGGACTCTCATCTCATGAAGAGTCTACCACTAGTCTCCATTCACTGTGATAGCCTTGACCGCTTTTGATCAGCTCACTTGCACTGATAACAAATGCAGCGGGGAAAGGTTCTTCCCTCTCAAAAAAACATATGCACTTGCAGGATGATAAGCTACAATAAATTATTCATTTCTATTTCTCATTCTCATAATCACACAATTCACATCTATCTCGAAGTCTCACAACAACCAATCCCAAAACCGAAGAAGAGCCAGTGATGTCAATCGCAAGAACCTTTCCTCCCTCGGTATGAATCCCCTCATTCTTTCCACTCTGACTAACATACGCCCATCCGAGACCATCACCAGCTCTGCCCAACTGAACACTCCTTGGACCAGACAAAACAGTCTCATTTGCACTTCCAGCCAACGTATCATTAACTCCACCAATAACCACGCTCACATCACCCCCTTCAAGACCAATCTTCAACACACTAGCTCCAGTTCCATAAGCCAAATAAGCAACTCCCTGCTTAGGATCCAGCGCGAGATCATCAGCTCCATAAGCATCGGTAAGGATCTCTACTGGTCCTGTAACGTTCAAAGCGCTAAGCGAGAACGGAATTCGTCCAAAGGTTGTGAGACCCGTGTTTGTGTAGTAGATATACACTTGATCAGTGTCACCAGTGGTAGGAGTCAGAACTTTAAGACCATTGACGCCGAATGCCAAAGAAGTGGAAACCGGTGGTTTCAACTCTGCAAGGTCGAGAAGAACAGAGTATTCGGAAGTGAGAACGTTGATGGACCAGATAACTCCGAGGATGGGATCAGCTGCGATGATCAAATTTTGGGACTCGGAAAGCGTGGTAAGTCCATTGAGAGATCCGGCGCCGGATATAATTGCCACTTTTGAGACAGAGGCACCGCTGTTGGTGGAGGGAACGTACGATGTGAGATCAATAGAGTAGATAGAGTAGATAGTGTTGACACCTGTGAGAGTACTGGCGACTGAGGAGAGGGTGAAGTTTCTTGTAATGAGGTAGAAATGGGAGGGTGCGACTTCGGTGATACCCAGGAGAGATAATTCAGGTGTGAAAGAATGAACGAGTGTGGCAGTGTTGTTCAAATCTGGTGCGGATGAGGAAATAGTAGGGTCGATGTAGTAGAGATAGGGATTTGTGATATCAGTGACGAGTATTTTATCACTGGAAGTTATCACAATGTTTTCGAGCCAGGTAGGATTTGGAAACTGGTGGATCACGCGAGAAGGGAGATCTGAGCGGGGAGCATGGCGGATGGTGGCTGAGAAGGCGGAGGAGAGGAGAGAGGTTGAAACTAAAAGATTTCGAGGAGAGAAATACATGATGATTTTCGTGATTTACTGAAAGGCAAATCAGATTTTGAGAGAAATTAAAGATGAATCGAATTCAAAGCAATATCAAAGACATAAACAAGGAATTGACACCAGGAAAAGATCATCTCATTTGTACCTGTAGATCTTCGTCCCAGTCATTTAATTTTCACCCGAACCATCCAGCATCGCCCGTGTGTAGAACACGCACGCAACTCTCAAACATCAAGGATATTCGTCCTCAGCTACCTAAATCAGAATTCTTCACCGTTGGCCGAAGCATGTCTTGATTCCGTCCGGTAGTGCCAAGAAACTACCGTCGCAACGACACCCTCAATTACTCGATTGCGGGGTTGTCACATCGGTATTTGCCCTTTTGATCCTGGATAAGGATGTCAATATCCGTGCAAAATTCCAAACAATCTTATAATTCGACGAGTAAGGGGGGAAATGGATTAAAACCCTAGTATGTGGCTGGGGGAATTAGTGGACTAAACTTAAAACAAGCATATTTCTCGGGACCGAAAGTTTACTGCAGAAATTTGGTCGAGTGGGATCTGTAGTAACAAAGATCTCTAGGCTCATTTGATCGTCAAGATTACATGTAATTGTTGAAAACCCTGGAAGGTGATGATAAAGACTTCTACTGCGTGGACAGCGAGGAAGAAAAATGGCATCATCTAGAATCTGACGTTGGTTCGGAGGTTAACCTTATTCGGGACATAAAAAATATCCGATAAATAACCTTGAGACCTCGAAACCTGAACGTAGAAAATCTTATCGCAGACACACTTTTGAAATGTAATTCGAAGAATTCAAAGCAACTATCATTTTCTTATTGCTATTGCTTTCATATTATGCACCTTGATAGTCTCCGTGTATCGACCGAGTTACGTGCTGCTCCTTAACATGCATAATGCTTACGCCTAGTACGCATTTTGTGCCTTGCGTTCATCGAAGATTCTCAAAGCTTCCTCAGCGGCTTTCACCCCAGAAAGTGCCATGGCACCAAACGTGGGACCCTTTAGTAACAAGCTGGTCAGACTTTGTCATATTGGTTTGGGAGAAGATTAGGCTCTTACCATGCGGTTTGCACCATCGACCTCTGACAATTCCATGCCTCCGACAATCAAGCCTGGAACAATTTCCCTAGTTCTTTTGACGATAGCATCTTCAGCGACCTGGAACGTTGAAGTCAGTGTATTTCCATCAATGAGAAAGCTTTAATGCCTTACATTCATATCAAGTCCTCTCATACCACCGAGTTCCTTGATTTGATTCATTGAAACCAAACGCTTGACACAGAACGCGCCAAACGGACCATCATGCCCAGTGGTAGAGATGACGACAGGAGCATTGATTGTGTTTGGATCCATGCAACTCTGGTCATCATGATGCATTGTGACAAGTGTCCAATTTGTCACCACTCCTGCGACTCTAATGTTGCCGTCAGTGGTTTGACGTGTAATGAGATCCTCAACGGCGGTCGCATTGAACAGTTTGATGTTAGGGAATGTAAGAACTTTGGACAGGAGAGTTGATGTGAATAAAGCCTGTTGACAGCTATCGTTAGCACCATAGTATATGTCAAACGAATAACATCCAGAAGGGCATGGATAACGAAAGTTTTTAAACATACAGCATGCTTGACCACAACAAAGTCTCCCTCATCTTCATACGGAACACCAAGGTCGGTCAAGAAGGCATCAGCGGGCTTTCGCATAACCATAGCACTGAAGAGTTGTCCACCCAACCATGCTCCTCCACCTGGAGAAACAGAAGCCTCAATGATGGCAATCTTGAGATCAGGGCGAGCCTTGCCTAGCATATAGGCGGTACTGAGACCACAGGAGCCAGCACCAACGATGACGATATCAGACTCAGCATATGTATCGAGATCATTGAAGTAGCGGCGGGTCATTGCACGCGAGACTTGAGATTCACGAATAGGAGCAAATGTAAATCCCTGGTCCCACTTCTCAGCAAGGTCAGCAAGTGTCTTGCCTTGAGTGGCTGCCTGCGAAGATTCGACTTTAACGTCGAATGCTGATTTCAATTGAACTCCATCGATGGGAGATGTTTCCTCGGCGAACAATGCTGATGGTGGTGCCATTTTCGATAATTTTTCAAGTTATTACCTGCGAGAAATTAGTGACGTCCATGAGGACGGAATGGAAGAGCATGATCCTTTCGCTGGTATTATCCAGATCAAGTTCATATAACCGTATAATCTCAGAACGACCCCTCATCAACGGCACTCTCATATCATCTTACTGAGTAAGGTGGTGAATGAGAGGCAGGCTGACGATTTACAGGATCGAACACCGGTTCATGCGAGAGTGACTTATACAATTGATGTGATACCTTGATCCGCAAAGCGGATAATGTCCATGCTAAGGATTACATGGCTTCCAACTGTTGGAAGTGAGTTGTACTTGGTACGAGTTGTCGTTTGCTAGGATAAGTGCACGATGTCAGTGTTTCCCTCTAACTGAGTGCAAGATGACTGACACGAACGTTTGTTTGTTTTTGATACGCAAATGACGAGCTTCCTGGAAGATGTTGAAGAGAAGAAGATTGTGTTGGGGATCATGTAGAGAATAAGTAGTCCGAAAATCACGCGCTAAGTGAGGGGTAATTCTTAGTAGCTCCGTGCCCAGGAACTCCCCTGTTTAAGATGCGTCAACGTCGCTATCGCTGTTATCTGATTGATTGATCTAAACCCTGAGATGTAAAGGAATTACCTCACTGGACTGTCGAATTTTGGTCATCAATCCTAATAATTGTCATAGTATGCAACAGGCGCAGTTTTATTGGAGTGAGCTAATAGCTTCCTGCAGTGGTTTGCGGCATTTGGAAACATGTCAAAATCCGCCGAATCACAGAGGGGTGAGTTTTGATATGATATGCATGCACTCTTGGAGGCAATCACTTACCTACCTTCCTAATTCGAAAGAGCTTTCTACATCGATGACTCAACGCAGCATCGTTTCAATTGAGAGGGAAAATGGCATGATCTGTATACATCTAGCAGTAATACTTGGTTCTATTGAATTCCACTTGAGTAAGCCTGGCAATTCTTTCTCCCTCAACGAGAATGAGGAATAATCAAAATCTCTATTTCCAAGCAAGACCCAGTCATGTATTGATCACTCTTATTCCTATCATAATTAACTGTTTGGGATTCGTAATTTTCAATGACTTTTACGGGAATCGCAATTATGACACTAATACAAGGTTCTTTCATTTGTATGCAAAGATTCATGGAGATGGATCGCATGAAGCACAGAAGATGTAGTGAAAGAATCAAAAAGTAGGGATCCAGGGACTGATAATATGTACTGTTTTGTTTTCTGTTTCTGGGTTAGGTTATCAGATCATTCTCAAGAACCCTTCTTACACTAAACTTCGATGTGTATTCTAGCTGTGAAATTTGGTACATTGATTTCAACCAACAACTTCGGTACAACAGGATACCCTTTGTTGATGCAGAACTCAGTCACACATTCCCAATCTCTTCTTTTTATACAGAACTGGTACTGGGAAGGAGCCACCACAATACTTCAGTTAATCTCAAATAAAGGTATGTGCTCTGGTATCAAAAGGTCTTCCACAAATATATCAAATAAACAACACATATCTATATATTATATAGCAATTCCTAAATCAGTATGGCTACAAATAAGGTGAGGAGCTCCACAAGTCACTGTTTCCATAGAGTTTGATACAAGGAGGCATAGATTACACCTCCACCAGAAGCAACAGTCACTCCTATCGATGCGTCAGGTCCTCCGGAAAAATATAACATATCATTTGGATGTCACCACTTTGTTGTCGAATTATCCAAGGTGCCTTGGTTGGGAGCGTATATCGATTTGGTGCCAAGAGACAATGCAAGTTATACTCAGCCTGGCTATGAGAGCGAATACGAGCCAGGCCAGTCCGTTCCCTACTTATTCATAGCTGCCCAGGGAATCATAAATGGATATTATTTCTGCTTCAATATGCTTCCTCCCAAGCTTTCACATTACTATAGACTCTGCCAAGCACTTGATGCTATATCAGCCGAAAATTTGACATCAAACCTCGAGTCTCTACAGGGACTATGGACTTCAATTGCATTTTATGGGGATCCAAACACTTCCCAAGATGTCAGAATACTCCACAGGGCAAGAGCTGGCACTGCTGCGTTCAAATTTGTGTATTTGATGATATTGGGCGACTTTCCCCCCGTCTCCGAAGTTCCAAAAGGGAAGCAAGAATTGGCATTAAGGTTTGTGAAGACCGTCTTGTCTAACCAAGATGATTTTATATGGGAGATAAGAAAGGTAGTTCGAGCTGCATATCAAGTCCGATTTGAAACCACTTGGGATGAGTTTAAGATGTTTGATGATTTTGGGGGGCAGACAGCAACGAAATTAGAAGATTTTGAGATGAAAGAAGCAGCGAAAGAAGCGGCGAAAGAAGCGGCAGCGAAGGAAGAAGCAGAAAAGAAACAGGCAGCAAAGCAAAGGGCGTCAATACAACAAGACAGGGAGTAGGACTGTGATCACAATCTTTTATATCCAGGCTCATACTGTTTCAGCGATTAGTAGAAATAATTCTAGTAATTAGCAGCAGCGATTAAGTTGGTTGTATCAAAATATATGAATATAAGTATCAGCTGTTTCAACCATTTATATCTCCACGAAGTCTACAACACGAGTGCATGTGATAACAGGTAAATACTCTCAAACATTCAGCAGGGCATTAATCCGTCAATAATTATCAGGAATCACATTTTGACGTCATAAAAGGCGTGAGACAGAAGGATGTGGCGGTGCTTATATGTGGCGGAGAAGTTATAACAACAAGTAACTCCGTCACGTTTATAGAGCTTGGATATTGCGTTACAGTTCTCAAATTAAAAGCTATTCTATTCGAATAAGAAAATGACTGATATTCATCCATTTAATCTCTCAATCCCTCAAGATAAGATTAACACCCTTCAAGCAAAACTTTCATTAGCCACCTTTCCTGACGAGCTACCCTCCAAGCCGACCTCAGAATGGGATCAAGGACCTCCGTTGTCCGAAATCCAAGATTGACTGAGAAATGGAAGACTTGGGATTGGCGAAGTGTAGAAAACTCATTTAACAAGTATCCGCAATTTACAACCAAAGTCGACGTAGAAGGTTTCGGAGAACTGAACATACATTTCCTCTATCAGGAAAGTCCTGTCAAAAATGCCATTCCATTGTTATTTGTTCACGGGTGTGAGATGACTCCCAAACTCCTCATCTTGGAACCCATACTTACAGACAATCATCAGGGCCGGGTTCCTTTCTCGAGGTCCTCAAGATTCTTCCCCACTTGCAAAACCCCGCCTCCACAACTTCCCCACACCCCAGTTTCCACATCGTAGCCCCATCTCTCCCAAATTTCGGATTTAGCTCCGGTGTTAAAAGGAGAGGATTCGCAATGGCTCAGTATGCGGAAACTCTCAATAACCTTATGATAAAACTTGGGTACGATGAATATGTCACCCAGGCGGGAGACTGGGGTTTTTGGATTACGAGATCGATAGGAAAATTGTGTCCGAAACACTGCAAAGCGAGTCATCTCAATATGGTATATGCGCAACCTCCCACGCTATTTAGTAATCCAATTGAGAAGATTGGAGATATGTTTATGCCCTACAGCGAGCTGGAAAAGAGGACTGTTGATAGGCGAAAATGGTTTCAGGCTGAGAGTAGAGGTACGGAATCTCATTTCTTGACAGTGTCATCTAATATATTAATCAAAAGCTGACATAAACAGGCTACAATGTACTCCAATCCACCAAGCCCCAGACCCTAGCATATGGACTAGCCGATTCACCAATCGCGCTTCTAGGCTGGATACACGAGAAACTACACGATTGGTCTGATGAGTATCCATGGACAGATGACGAGATTCTGACCTGGGTGAGTATATACTACTTTAGCACCGCAGGACCAGGAGCTCCGCAAAGAATCTACTACGAAACTATGCATACTTCAGAAGATAAAGAATGCACGGTTGAGAAGCTACAGCAATGGACCGCAGATGTGAAGTTGGGTTTGGCATACAATCCAAAGGATTTGGAAAATGTTCCAAAGCGTTGGGGAAGGACGCTTGGAAATGTGGTGTTTGAAGTTGAGAATGATAGTGGAGGGTGAATTTCATGTTCCGAACAAGACTGAACTCCTGCTAATGAATCTTATTAGACATTTCTATTCTCATGAGAAACCGGATCTGTTGGTGCGAGATTTGAGAGCTATTTTTGAAAAAGGAGGAGAAGCGTTCAGTACAGTGAAGGGAAGGAACGGATATGATTAGATACACCAATAGAGTGTCTTTTTAAAGACAGTTAATGCAGAGATACTGGAATTTTGAATAGGTTCAACATCTTAGCTGCTCATAAACACAAGCACATTAGGGGGTTGATCACTTGGATGTTTCGTCAAAACAAGGGGGTTTGAACCATTGATTTCATTGGCATCTACCTTTCTGTAAAATCATGCCCTCATAGCCCCAGATTCTAAACTCTGATTGAGCCTATTCATGCTGTTTCTCTGAATTTTCATCAAGGAATGGAACGCACATCTTGACCGTTTCGTATCCTATGTGTGCAGCATTTTTCTCTGTTAAAAAAAGAGACATATCAATACTAGAACTTAAAACCTATTCAACAAAGCCATATTTTCTGTGATGATTGAGCTAAAATCTCTTGAGGTCTTCGGTATCCCCTCGCTCTCTTGATTCTTGAAGGCCAGTTCTTTTCTCAAGAGATATCCTGTACTAGATGTAACAGATACTGGCCGACCACCGTCTACCATGGAGCTCCTTCAAAGATCTGTGCAAGCCCCTTGTATTTATTCAAGAGCGATCCATCTTCATGAGCTGGAATCCACGCCTCAAAAGAGAAACAGTAAAGCCTAGGCTCAGGCGCCTTTTTGCCCAAAGTTTCCCAATTTGAATCGACATCAAGCTCGCAAAGCGACGCAATTGTAACCTTTACTTTATTCCAAAACTCAAACTTCTTTCTATTTTTCATCGCTTGCAAATCTTTGAGATAACGCTGATAGTCAGTTCTCTCTATCTTGACATGTTCAAGCACAACCTTTATACGATTCATGTGGCATCTTTCAACCAAGCAGCCAGAATCGTCCCAATAGTCGTCATACCACATTTCTGTGTCTATATCGATCATATGATACCCCCTCCTTTTGCATAAACGGTAATTAGCTGCAAAATCGTTGACTGAAAATCTTGAAACAATCTGAAGAACTTTAATATCAGGACATCTTTTGGGAAGACTGGCCAGAAGAACGTCATACTTTCTCATTCGACGCCGGACGAGTCGATTGACGTAGGTCGGAAATGTGGTAATTGCAACGCGCTCAACTTTGGAGAGATTTATGCTTCTCCCGTAATGATTCAGCAATACAAGATCTGGCATATTGAGCATCAGGATGTCCCTCACAGGATCTATGTAGGTTTGTACGAGACGTCTATCATTCACCCAGAAATGATGAATTGGTGGTTCCTCATGATAACCTCGCATAACACCGTGCGGATCTGGTGTCGATAATCCAATGTGTTTCAACTGGTCATAAACCACTTCTCGTGAGAGCTTGCAGGCATTCAAAAGCGGCAGTAAATGGCTGGCAGGTGATATTTCATCATCGATTGAAAGCAAAAATTTGCTGGAGTCCATATGTACTTTGAAGTAGAAATCAGTAACTTTTGAATTACGATCAGGAACAGCCATCTAAGACCAACGTCCGTAGCTCGGGAGGCAAAAGCTTGAATTTAGGGAAAGTAGGAATATCTTTTTCTGGTGGTGGGAACAACTGGTGCGCCGAGCTATGATATGGGAAAAAAGGTAGAGGATCGATGGATGACTTGCGGAGAAAAAGCGGAAATAGACCTGTTAGAAACTTAGTGCTATACACATGCAATTGGAGATTCAATAGAATTGGTACTTTGTGGGTCTATCAATTCCATAGTGAGGCAGAAAGGTAGAATTAGGTGCCACTCCTCAATTTCTAGAATGTGGAAACCGATGAGTGAGGTCGAAACTGAGTGAAAAACTCTTATCTTGACCGAATTTCGTGGTTTCGAAGTTACAAACCATATGTAGCTCAGAGGTCAAGAATTTTTCTTTAATGAGGAATGATTTCCTATCTGTACAGTTCCAGGGAAGCGAGGTTGAGATGACGAATAACTTGGAAAGGTCATCTGCCGTGGAAGTTCTCTACCAGGCCACTTCAAGGTTCGGATAATACAAATATGAAACAGATATTGTTTGTATTTATAAGAACTTCTTGTTCCAAAACTTGGACTTGCGATGAGGATTTGCAAAACTGGTTATATTCGATCTTATGGCTCCTGTAAATTAAGAAACCGACAAGAAAAATGAGTAGAAAGTTTCGACGTTACAAGGTTCTCATATGGAAAGTGCCATGAAGGCTCGGGTACATGAGGCAAGAACCTCTTTCCATTTTGGATGGATAGCCCACTCTAAAAGTCAACACAGTATTTCCAAGGTTCCCAAACATTTAAGGAAATCGCGCGCGTTGGGTGACATGAATGTTCATGGTGTAGAAAATAATTAACAGAAATTATAAATGTGTTAGTTTATTGCAGTCCAGTCAAGTTCATATTTGCAGAAGAAGAAGGCTGATTTCGTAGTTAACAAATTTGAAGCGAGATTTTCTAGACCCAATAACCTAGTAAATGGGTGTTTTCAGCCCCTATGTGCTAATTCAAAGTGATGGACCATCAATTTAGGGAACTTATACGAAGTCTAGGCTTGGTACTAAACCCTTTAATCTACATACCATAATGCAGCTTGGGGGGTGGCAGACGATCACGGGATCATTACTTCGCCGAAGCACTCAAACAAACATCACAGAACTTAGTCTTCACACTTGGGACATCATACGCAGAGAAGTGATTTTCATAAAAAAGCGCGACAGTAAGCAAACTAAAGAATATCTTCTCTGCACATCCTATCCATCTATCATATATCAAAATGTTCACGTCAAGCCAAACTATCCAGCATCCTTCACCAACTAATGCCCTGCCTTTCTTCGATGCTCCAAAACCTTGTCACTTCTACTGTAAGTCCTTCCACAGCCGGGTCTGGGGCACTGATGAGTGCGACGTCCTACTCCGTGAACGGATGCCATGTGGCGTGGAAGATCCGTGCGACGAGAGAAGGTACATGGACAACGCGTACAGGTAGTGCGTGGGGGGGGCTTGTTGTCTGGATTGAAGAACGGGCTGTTGAACAGGTACTTGGGCAAGCAAGTAGAAAGCACTGTCTGGGTTAATGAAGGCCGGTGGGTATGGAGCAGGGCCAAGCATGGAGGCCGGATAGTTGGGGGTCAGGCGATTGGGGTTGATGATATCAGTATATTCAATGCTTGGTAATTCATTGAAGAAATTCAGTTCGACAGCATTCATGTTCGTGCCTGTAGAATCTCCATTTTCAACGAATTCTTCGATTGAGAAGTCTGGGACCGAAAGGTTGTAGAATTCGACATTGGGGTATATTGTAGCCGCACTGTTCAGGAAACCGAATGATATCTCCGATCCCGTGGTTCCGAGATACCCACTGGATACTGGTGTGGGTTGGGCGCACAAAGAACGGGCCTGATAATATCAGTAGGAAAGAAAAAAAAAGCTCACCCAATCAGCCCCGTTTCCAAACCCCATGACAGGGTAAGGTGACAGGCCAATATCTGAGAAATTGGTTTGTTGATGATGATCAATTAGCTCTAAAGCCATCTCTTCCCAAGAAATTGTCTCGTGGCGTGCAGCTTGCATGAGGGCGATGCGCTAAGGGCGTTGATTAACCGAGTGTAACTGTAAAATAAAGGTAAGGCTGTCGAGGCTTTCCAATGAATGGGCAAAAAAGTAGTGATGAGTGCGAAAAAAAGCTCAAAACTGGGTGGGGGAACAGTGCGAACTATATAATTTTTCATTGCGCTGCGGAAAATGGTGTGTTGGTACTGCATACTCGCCCTCAACTTCGCCCTCCATGGTAGTGTTGGCAGACTGAGGGCGCTGACCCCCATGTCAACAAAGCAGCCAATACGAATCAAATACTCTATTTGAAGTGGTTCTTGTGCTTGAGTGAAGATTTATGTACGTTGTTTATAGGTTGATGCATGAGCTCTAACGTCCAATCTGAAAGAAATTAAGAGAATGGCAATTGCAAATTGCGTTGAGAATGAGCCAACAAAATGTACTCGAAAACCCGGTTCATTCTCCTTGTTTTTCTATTCTCCCAATTTGGAACTAATATACAACTGAAAATACTGAATACGCGAATAAACTTACTTCCTTGAGCCAAGAGACACGGGAAAACTCAGCTGTGTCATAGTAAGAGATAATGAGAGAAATTTGGCAGGAAAAGAGGTTGGTAAATTATGAGGAGTGAAAAAATAGTAAGATTTCGGCAATCTCTTATGTTCTCACTACCTTTGAAATGCTAGATATATGAATGACTGCTGTAAGAATGGAAAACATTTGGTAAGATAGTAGATAAACGAAGAGTGCATGAAATATTAGCGATAATGGGGAGAATCTGACGTGATCACGTGTGGTAGGTGATACTAGGATTTTTTAATGAGTATTTGGTACGAAAGGACGTACCTTTCAGAACATTCGCCTTCAGAGCATGCTAGACCCTGGCAAAACTTCTGTTCTTGGGAGATGAGATCCCCAACCTGTGCGGGGTCGTGGTCTTTTCCAGAAAACAATGGAAGGTATAAGAATTTTGAGTAGTTTTTACAGCTTTGATAAAGAGATGTTGCAAAAGGAAAATGACGAAATTTATGGGAATTGGTGAATGAAATATTGCAATTAATGGAGATTCGTGAAGCTGTAGATTCAGGGGACTTTCACCAAATCTAATCCTAGCCTAGTCGTACATATAATCGAGGAAAGCACGTAGAACATGGTTGAGAGAATGGCTTCGAAAGCTAACATTATCATGAATTGGTCTCATAAAGCTGATGATATCTAGCTCAATGCAGTCTATTTTCAAAGCCTTGCAGTGGTCCATCTACGCAGAATCGCCGTTCTGTTCCTCACTGTACCAACAACTCAACATCTCTGCTTCCCTTCTTCTGCTCCCATAACTCCCAAAACTTAGTAGCGATATGTTTTGGGTTGTTAACGGGCTCCTGTTCGCTGACTGGACCCCCAATCGTCACGAGAGCAACGTGCACCTCATCCTTCGTCTGCTCAATCAACAACTTAACCAAGTTTGCTTGTGCAGCCTTTGCCATACTGAGTGAAAACACAGGTGCAAAAGGTTGATAAATAATAGGCGAACTGGTGACAAAAAGCGAAGGATGAGACTCCGGCTTCTCCTTTGCTAATGCTTGTAAACCTGGAAGCAACACTTTTGCAGTTGTGTACAATCCCAAGTTTGGAATTTTGAAATCTTCGACAATGTCTGCCTCGCTGTACTCGCCGAAATTTCCGTAGCTGACACGGGCCGCATTGTAGACTACTACTTCTGGGGACCCGACTTCTTTAACGGCGGTCTGAAGAGCGGATGTCAGACCGGGGGTATCGATCACATCAGCTGTGTAGGTGTGGATTTTAGCTGATGGAGCTGCGGCGGAAATGAAGTCGCGGGATGCAGAGAGAGTGGATTCAGAACGTGCAAAGAGTGCAATGTGTGTGAAAGTGTGGGTCGCGAAAAGGCGGGGGATGTGAGATCCGATCATGGGGCCGGTACCGACAATGAAAAGAGGTCCTGGGGAAGACATGATGGTGTTTCTTGTTGATTTGAAGAATGTATGTGTTTGTGAGGATAACTGGAGGAAGTCGATTTGAAAGTGGTAGAAATAGGTATACTGTGCCGTACGCTTATGTGGAGGTTTTGCTTGTGAGAAGGTACATTACCATATACATATATTTTAATCAAAACTGTAGGCCCCACTACGGGACGGCCGTGGATGCACTAGACCTTATTAATGTAAGGATTCACTCTATGGTCACTTACAGCCAAGAATTGCAAGCGCTCCGTAGTTCTAGGATTGGGGTATCATTACAACGATAGACGTACAGGTATCTTAGTAGTACTCGACAGGACCTAGTTGCCACGATGTGATGGTGAGATTCATATATCCTTGTCCTTGATGAATTAAGCATATACCGCGAAGTAGCCATGGAGTCACGGAGTTGGATTCTGACTGCTTTTGATGCAAAGGTAAGGGGTGAATGAGGTATGTGCTATATGATCCTATGGTGTTGTGTTACCATTGTCAGATCTGTCGTAATCCATGTCGTGATCTGATGAAAGGTATTTATCGCCGGTGTTGCAATTAATACGATAAGAGACAAAGCGTGTGTTTAGGTTCCCCTAAAATAGCCAGTCTCCTGTCCAAAAGCACAAAGTACCTAGGTAGTTGGATCAATTCTGATACTATTGTGGCAAGTGCTTGTCAAGCTGGAGGATTGTAGAATGGCGACGTTGGATTGTTCATATACCCGAAATAAGCATATAGTCTAGCATTATGAAGAAGGGCTGTCCAAGGGTAAGATCAATAACGACTAAAATATAAGTCAGCGACGGTGATGAGCGCAGATAATTCCGCAATCAAATACATATCGAGCTGGTAAAGGTGGTATTGCAGTTGGTAGTGGAATCATTTTGCGGTATTACTGTATTACTGTATTGCTGTATTGTCTTATGTAAGCATTTAAGCTTCTCCACAACTGACCATTTCGGGAAATGACTGCCTTGGTGCCAATTGGGAATTTTGTTGGATAGAAGAAAGATATCCTAAGGCACGCAATCACAGTTTTCTCTCCACGGTATGATTTTGGCAATTATGCACTCTGGGCATCACGAAGTCCTGTATGACAATGAAAAGACATTTGTTGCTTATTTTGGACGTCTATCTAAATTATGGTATTTTTACATCGGCATATAGATTGAAAAATTCGGTATGCATGCAATTGCATTTCCCTCAAGAAGTAACCAGCAGATCCAACTCGAATTTCCTCATTCTAGGCTTCTGATGGGCCAAAGGAAGAAGCCCAAGGATCATACGAGTCTGATGCCATCAGTTCTTGCATATGTCGTCTACGAATGCCTACGTTGCCACCGTCAAAAATTGGTAAGACAATGGCTGTGTTCAATAGGGCTCCGAAGGGCTGCTCGGTACTATATGCAGTTCTGTGATGGATAATTAGTGACTTTGATACCTTGTGAAGAACTGTGTGAAGGGGAACTTACATTCCAACAGCATTAATGGCTTCTGTAACTGCTTTGACGCTCTCTTCTGAGCAATAAATCTTCGCAGCCAATGCCAATTCACGTCTGGCAGCATAATCACCTGGTCCATTCTCAAGGGTATGAGCTGCCTTCCATGTCAAAGCTCTGGAGGCTTCTGCCTTCATTTTGATACCGCTTAGGATATCTGCGAAAGCTTGTCTTGACAACAAAGATTCTGCTCCTCTACGATTATCGGCTTTGGCAAATGCTAGAGCTGCCTCGAAAGCGGCTCTCATAACACTTACACTCATGGCACCGACCAAAACAGCTGAACAATCGAATGCTCCAGATACCACAGGAACACCTTGACCTGGTGGACATAGAACGTTCTTGGTAGGTACTCTTAAGTTGGTATATTTGATATGTGGGCCAGAGCAAGCAGGGTGGCCGGCGGTTGGTACATGTTTGAGTGTTTTGAATGCTCCCTTTTCATTACGTTCAATATCAGCTCTGCTTACGAGCAGTATCATGATTGCGTCGGCGGGGTCATCTGAAGTAACACTAGAATCACGGCAGACTACACATTGAAGGTCTGCACCTTCAAAGTCCCAGCCTGCACAATTGGTAGCCCACATCTGTTTTTCAGATTAGTTTCAGTTCCAGATTTTGGTTTGATTTTCTTCAAGTTCTTCTTACCTTTTCTCCATTAAGTACCCATTCATCACCTTCAAGTGTGGCCGTTGTGTTGAGCCCCGGAGCACCCTTCTCTAAAAAGTTTGCAACTCCTCCTGGTTCGGAGAATACTAAACTTGCTAATGGTGCCCCTTTACCATTCAAAAATGGTTCTAAGAATTCTTTGTGCTCTTCTTTTCCAACCAAATTCAATGGTGTCAAACCCAATCCAGTTGCAAATATTGTCAAAGATGCGGAAGGATCGACAGCATACATTTCTTCAACTAAGATAGTTGCTTCAGTTAAACTTCCACCTGCTCCTCCAATATGAGGTCCTATCAGGCCTTTGATCATGCCCCCAGCTGTTGCATCAGCGTAGAAAGGCTTCAATGATTGAAATTGTTGCTCGTCTTTCTCCGCGGAGTAAACTTTCTTGATATCTTTTAGAGGGCCAGCAGCGAATGCAGCTGCATGTTTTCGGATGCCATCCTCAGATGCAGAGAGTTGAAAGTCAATAGGCATGTTGTAAAGTTTTTTGAACGGATTTTTTTTGTGAAAAATGCTGTCAGAAAGTTTTCAGAAGAAAAGTATGTGAAACTCTATGTTTGTTTGTCTGTTTGCAAATTATTTGTAGGAAATCAGAATTGAGAGTTGTTGAAATACAAAAATTAATTCGAACTTTATGAGGGGTAGTAATCCAAAATAAGACTAGGGCTGATGTAAAGTGCGGAACAGTCAAATCGGCGTGATCGGTTATATGCATATACCCGAGTTCGTTGGAAGGATGTTGGTGACAGGGTTTATCATATCATGGCTGATATTCTGACAGGCCATTGCTGACATGCCTCTTGGCCGATGGTCTTACAGGCATTGCCAATTTGTCAAGCACTGCGTGCCACGATCCTATTGTAACACAAGCCCTTGAGCTGACCCCTACATAAAATGCTATTCCCGTCCTGTACAGTATCATCTTCTAAACTCGTTTTATTCAAGGATTCCGGGAGTATGGCCTTACGTATGATAAGGTATCCTGCATTCAAATCTCATTATGTTTTTCATCACCTCAACGGGCAAGATTACAACCCTGTTAGGGATTCACATAGGTAGGATTACCGGCATGTATAACTTGTTTCGAGAACGATAGTTCTTCATCCTTCTTTATCATATTTACTGTGCCACTGCCGCGCAGCCCCTGACGTTAAGTATTGGGTCTGCTCACTTTTTATTTCTGCACCAAAGCTGCATATATCTCCTCGGAATAGCAACCAACTGTTTGTTTATTGTCCGACTCTTTATTTCATTTTCTAAACCAGTTAAATCGCAATGTCAGCCACGGACCCCAATATACCGCATGATTCCAAGGTGGATCAGATTTTGGGAGTATGTTCTGCTATGTTGGTCATTACTACAATAGTGGTAGCAGCAAGAATTTGGACCCGATTGAAGCTTGCTAAAGGTGGACTTGGATCCGATGACTGGTGTATCATTGTTGCTTGGGTTTTGGCTATAGCTTTTGATCTTGATCCAATTAATCGTGAGTTCTTTCTAAAAGGATATAGAATGATATTCTGTTTGCTGTCGGAGTCATGCCATCGCCCTTGGGGTGAAGCAAATGTCAAACTTATGAATGTGACTGACCTGTTTAACAGAAGTAAAATTTGGATTGGGTCAACACATATATGATTTGCCTGAAAGTACAAATTTCAGTGCATCTCTCGAGGTGAATCCAACAAACTCAGCTATGAATCTCCTATCATATTAACAGAAATCTAAGCTCTATTATTTCGGCGAAATCATCTACTTCACCTGTGTGGCTGTCACAAAAATAGCTATCCTCATTCTCTATCTTCGTCTAGCCACTTCCAAAGTCCTTCGAACCCTTATCTGGGGTGTAATGGCCTTCGTGGCCCTTACATCTCTATCCTTCGTTATTGCAACTATTTTCCAATGTACGCCGATTTCCAAGGCTTGGGAACATCCTGTTACGGACAAGGGACACTGTATCCAAGTCAATGCTTTGTTCTATGCCAATGCTGGTTTGGATATCTTTCAGGATTTGGTGATATACGTTTTGCCAATGAAGATGTTGTATTCGATTCAGATACCGAGGAGACAGAAATATGCGCTAATGATTGTTTTTGCGGTAGGAGGATTTGTGGTTGTCACGGGCATGATTAGACTTTATTACTTGCAAGGTGCTCAAGCATCGCAGGATCCTTCTTGTGAGTACTTTCTCTATTGATAGCAGCAATTCTTTCCGGAGGTTTGTTGTCTAACAGCCATCTAGATGACAATGTAGGTGGTGCCGTCTGGTCCTCCATCGAATGCAACATAGGTGTAGTGTGCGCCTCGCTCCCACACTTCAAACCCCTCTTCGATCGATTCTTCCCCTCACTAATGGGTCGATCTGCTGGCGCTTCAAATCACAATGGCCATTCGGGGCCAGACTTGAGAAAAAATTATGTTAAACAAAATAATGAATATGAGTTGGAGAATGGAGGCCCGAAGAAGAAGATGTGGAAAGATACTTATGAGGGGAAGTATGGAAGAGATTTGGTCAATAATATTGAGGGAGGTGATACGATATACGGGGGAAATGATAGCGAGGAGAGGTTGAGGGGGGTGACGCCGCCAGAGACTGAGGGACACAACGGAGGGGGTATCTACAAAAGCACGAAGATTGTGGTTAGTAGGTTGCCGGCTGAGAGGTGAGGTGAACTGAGGAATAGAAAGACGATCTTTTTGTATGAAATGAAGTGCTTTTGGAATGGTATATTATGGGATGGCATGGAAAGGCGTTGGATTTAATGATGGTACTACACATGGATTTGGACCTGAGGTTCAAAAGTTCTACAATGGATAGATAGAGACTGC